TTGAGAAACGATGTACAAATGCGCTTTACACAATTGATGTGTGTATGGATTGGGATAACAGTTGTATGAGCCCCCAATAAAATGATTTTTTTAAAAGAAAAAAAAAATTTAAACACAAAGTTCAACTTGCTATCACATCATGCTGACTCAAGAGCATCTGACCTTATCAATCCTCTATAAAATGTGAAAAATGTTAAATATTCCTTATTTGATATCATACATAAATCATACTGAAATGATTTCTGTTAATAAAAAGACAATATTTTAGAAAGGAAATTTTTATTAGATTAACACATCTAAAAGCAAAAAGATAAAGTAGCCATTGCTACCTTATCTTCAACCCTTGCGTTTAAATATGATCATAAATATAAACTGAAATAGGTGAGTCTTGCATTCTTCCATGAGGCAGTGTAGAGACTTCCCAGTATTCAAATATATTCATAAAGTCAGATATCTAACTCTAAGTACAAAAGCAACCTATAGGTTATAAGATGGCATTTACCACCTTTGTGAAAAATTCAACATTACCAATCCAACCTAGCTACCTTCAAAAGTCCAATCATGCCTTAGAAAATAACAGTGATAACACCCGCAGAACGTTAATTTCTATCAAAAATTTGAAAGTTTGATCAGAGTCATTTAACCACAACTAATCTTTAATTTAATTAACAACTGTCCAACCAAAATATTTTAGCAGTCATTCATGATCTGATTTCCAGTGTATAAGATCAATTTAAATATGGTACATGTAAAAAAAGTCACAAAACATTCCTAATTTATAATAAAAAAGGCAGTGGCCAACTGTTACTCATTCGTACTATTAATAATTAGTACTTTGCCGAGAAGTTCTTAATTCTGCCCTTTCTCCCTTCTTAATGCCAGCAAAGATTATTTTTGTTCCAGGGATGTACGAGGGGGTACCCCCCAATAAAAACCTTATCACCTTCAAAGTACTCTCCATTACACCTAATACGTTTGTCCAATCGGTATCTCCATTCTTGGAAACATTTTTCAAACTCATCTGTTTGGATGGCTGAGAGCACCTCTCTCATTTTTTCAGTCACGTCTTCTACGTCCGTGTTTTGGAGGGTACCCCTTGTACTACTTGGGATGCTGCAAATACTCCATCAGCGTGTGTCCACCCCTCCCGCCCGGGCAGGTGATACCTTTGCTCTTATTGTCATCTGTGTATGTGACTCTTGGGGCTTGACTGGTCTCCTGCCCAAACAAACCATGTACATTTGGCACTAGGCACACTGCTGAACAATGATCTTCTTGCCCTTCTCCTGAATTCTTGCCCTTTGTGAATTCACTTTCGCGTTGAACATCCCACACCATTACATGAATTGTATATATTAGCGTACATTCTGTATAATTTTGTAGAAAGTCTTTTGAGTTTTTCCAGAATGTGGAAATTATGCTTACTACTTACTGATACTAATGATCCAAAGCATATACGGTCGGTACACTCAGCCTAAGGAAGACAAATCTGTTGTTGTTGTTGTTTAAATTGTTTCTTTAGAGGTCAACCGACTATACCCAAATGCTGAAACTACATGACCAATCTGTGTCAGATAAAGTAAAATAATTTACCTTAAATGTAGCAAAGGCATCTGAAGCAATATCAAATGTTGACAATTCCACGTACTTAAAGAAATCTCTGAATTGATTAGAAAAGAGGATGACTTTGGCAAGTGGCTCATATCGAATACATTCTCTTAGCATCATCCCGCAACGTAAGGCAATTTGTGGGGTTTCATATCTAGATGATAAACAAGAGAAAATAGAGGACAGTATTATTCTGCGAACCCTGCTTTTAACAAAAAGGCTATCAAAATAATCATTTAAATACAGGTAGTTCTTGACTTACAATGTATTTACATATCAGCAAGCACACTTATGACATATTATGTTTATATAAAATATGTATATTTATATAAGATATACATACATCTTATCACTAGCGATGAATACTACATATAATGTTATAGCACATTACAAGGTCCATACAGGCAACTTTCCCTAATTTTCTCACTAGAAAGGCCATCCATTTTCAGGGATAATCCTACATCTTCCACAAGCAGAGTTAATACTGTAAATGACAAAATGTCAACATTGTCCATTTTTTATACATATGTTTTAATGTATGTATTAAAACATATCAGTAGGGTTATAGGTGATGTTTCTTACTCCTAAAGACAAATAAGGATCAGATTAATAAAGATATTGATAATAATAACAAAAACTAAACTTCCGCGGCTTCACTCTATCGCGGTTTTTGCGTAACAGCGCATGCTCTGTCATTACTGCCACTGATTGGCTCATACTGTACA